GGGGGGGGGGTCGACACCAAATACCCAAGAACCATGAAATAACTGCAAAAGGTTTAACACATGTCTAAGGGAATATCAGAAGAAGAAGAAATATGGGAAGCGATGGCTGAGCTGTGTAAGCCTCCATCACTGGTGCCACCCGAGTACATTTCACAGTGGGATTTCCATGTCTTAATGTCTTCTGTCCGCTTTATTTCCAAGACCTCCAGCTGGAGACCCTAGTTGGGTAGAAGGAAAAGGCGTTTTTGCCCCCTACAGTCTGATTAAAATCGATTGTTTATTGGGATGATGCAGGAGAAACTTCTGAGCTTTTTTTTCTTCCAGCCAAACAGCAGCTTTATTAGTGATGCTGGAGTCTTCACAGGCAGTACAGTGCGTGTGGAATATTCCCCAGGGCCCAGGGAATGCCTCTGTGCGCCGTGAACAATACTGTGTAACACTTACACTGGAATGATATAAAGCTTTGGTGTACAGGTTTTCAGGAAGACAAGGTAACACTGCCAGACCAGCACTGCACACACCACCAGCTCTCAATGTGGATTTGGTTTTTGACCAAGGGGGTAACTTCTAATTTTTTTAAGTTCTTTTTATTTTCGAGAGAGGAAAGGAGAGGGGAGGGTGAAAGAGAGTGGGGGAGAGAGAGAAACATGGATGTGAGAAACATCGATTGGTTGCCTCCTGCATGCACCAGGACCAGGGACTGAACCAGCAACCTGGGTGTGTGCGCTGACCAGAACCGGACCCACCGCCGTTGGTGTAAGGGGGGACTCTCCCACACTGAGCCACACCAGCCAGGGCAAGGGATTAACTTCTAAGTGATCAGTCGCTGGGGCTGCTTTAGGCTCAGCGGCAGGAGCGGGCGTCCAGGGCTGCGGCTCCCCTTGGCCCTGTCCTTTCACCTTCACCTGCAGGTTCTGCCCTTTCCCTTCCCCAAAGGCTTCTCCTCAGTCTTGGGCAGGAGCCAGGCACGGGCGGCACCTTGCCCGCCTGGCTCAGGGGCACGGCGGCGAGGAAGGCACTGGCGGCCCGGAGGCCTCTGCGCGTCGTCCAACAAGGGGTCGGTGTCCACCAGGGCCTCCATCTCCACGGGCTCACTGCTGCTGAAGGTCATGTGCCCAGAGACGGTGGTGACAGACCACCTTCTGGTCTCGCCGTGCAAGTGCCTGGCTGGGCTGTGCCAGGAGCCCAGACGCCTCGCCCGGCCCCACGGGGGCGCCTCCGCCGCAAGGCTGCGCG